TTTATTTTATTTATTTATTTTTTTTTGGAATCAGATAGACTCTTAATTGTAGATCACATCTGCTTAGAATTTATATTGCAGTGCAGTGTCTCGGTAGCTGCTGTATTTCTGCTGATATCAGTAGTGGATGTTCTCCTCAACTGCATTAGTGCGACTAAAATGAACCCTGTTGATCTGCACGGTCTCTTGTACCTTTAGGCCTCTCTCCCTTGACGATCCTTCCTTACATGCCTGGGCTTTGGATGCCGATCATCTAGGAGATGATTCGGATGACTGCTTCTGTAGCACAGAACGGACCTGCAAATCCACTATAGACCATACTTTCACATTGCTCCAAATCCTGGAAACACACACGAAAAATATATCGACAAATTCCTCCTATTCGTCGACTACAAAGCCGATGGAAAAGGTCATACGAAGTGCAAATACCAGAAATACCACTTTGTACACCAAAAAGCCTAAGCCGACAACATCGACATAAAGGGTCGAATATTGCGAGCGGTAACTGGCACCTTTGAACGAATTGAGAAAGAGTCAACCAATGTGGGACTGGCATTAAATGACGAGAAGACCAAGCTGATGGTATCAACGCGCAATACTCAAATAGACTCGGACCAACTGTGAAACTTGAAAACTACAACTTCGAGGTATATTTTATATACCTCGGTACCGCCATAAACAAAATTAATAACATCTTGGTCACCAGACCAAGCTCACAATCTACAAAACGCTCATACTACCAGTGATGTTGTATCGAACTGAAACATGGATAATTGCGCAAGAAGATGAAGCAGCTGTTGGAGTATTTGAGAGAAAAATTCTCCGAAATATCGACCTTTTTCGGTTTGCTCCGCAAAATGTACAATCTGGCGACGTCTGAAACCTTGTGCATGTCATATTACTTCTTGGCTGAACTGACCACATCTGAGGCAATAAATTCTTATCTTCCAAATATCGCAACAAATTCTTATATTCTCGTATAGATTCACTATGGCTTCTCTGCTAGAGAGACCTTATTTACGCAAAAACTGCCTAGGCTTACGGGATTATATTTACACCTTTAAAAGAATTTATCCAACAAAAAATATTGAGTAAGCAATATTGTTATAAAATGTTTGAAAAATGTTACACAAAAATACCCCTAAACCACTTTTGTAATATTCATGTTCTAACCACTGTGCCACAATCATTATTCACAACCTAAACCAAAGAAGGGAATGAACGCATTAATAAAAAAGTGCGTTTCTTTATTGATTTGATACGACCGGCATAGCGTCGCTCGCGGTTTAGTTCACTCAAAATGTCAAATTAAAGTCGACCAATCGAATAGACGGTCAATCGTCGTCCGTCATTTATTCGATCTATGCTCCAACTAAATATGAAACGTTGTAATACATTTTGATGAACGGTCCGGCCCGACCATTCACTCTGTCCAAGGCACTTTTGGAAAATAAATGCCGAGTAAATCGAAAAAAATAAACAAAAATAGTAGAAAAACCTCAAAACTCATTAATTCCAGTAATGTCGAATTATTGAATTTGTGCTAATGCAAGTGTGTGAGTGTCTGTGTGCGTACGAGTGGTTCTTTATGCTGTTATATGGGGTTTTTCCTTTCTACTTATGAAAAAAGGCCTTCATAAACGAAAAAATCAATTGGTTTTTTATTTATTGGGAATTCTATGGGTCATTTGGTATTTAATTGCCACATTTGTAAGTTCAAATTAAATATGGCTACCGAGTAGTAGTAGTAGTACAACATCGAACACATAAATATTAATTATATCTAGATTTTGTAATTTACTTCGAAATTATTTTAAATGCTATACTTGGGAAGATTTTTAATTGTTGGCTCATTAACAAAAAATAATTTGATCTGGTTACAGAAGTTGGGAAAGATAAATCGAACACTTATAGACATTACGTACAATATACTCCGTTGGGAACGCGAATTATTGTCACTTCCACCTCCCAACCCCAGAGATATCGACCACTGCTAACTCTACTTGGCAATCTTCCAAAAAATATCTTTTAAAAAATCCACGCCTTTGTTACTTACTTAGCTGGCTTGTTACAGAACGGTTGTTCCATAAGCCGAGTTTAAAAAAGATTTCCTACCGCGTCGATCTTGTGATCATCTCCTCCATTTGAAAGACCACGTTCCAATATGTTGTTTTCTACTTGGTCTATCCATCTGATTCGTGGCCTTCCCCTTCTACGGAAACCATCAGTAGGCTCGCTTTTATATGCCTTTTGAGCTGGGGCATTCTCATTCATTCGCTTAACATGGCCTAGCCATCGTAGTCGCTGCATCTCAATATGACTGATTATGTCGATGTCCGCGAGTAAATTGTAAAGCTCGTGGTTCATTCGACGCCGATATTCACCGTCGACGCAGATCGGCCCGTAGATCTTTCGGAGTATTTTTCTTTCAAACACCCCAACAGCTGCCTCATCTGTTTGCGCATGCTTCAGATCCATATAATAGCAAGGGTAGTATCTGCGTCTTGTAAAGTGTGAGTTTGGTCTGACGGGAGGTGGCCTTGTTTTTGAGTTGTTTGCTCAGACCATAGTAGCATCTGTTGGCCATCACAATCCTTCTCCGAATTTCAAAACTGATTTCATTCGAAGCTATAGTTCTCAAGTTCCACAGTTGGTCCGAGTCTACTGGACGTCTTGCGCGTTGAAACCATCAGCTTGGTCTTCTCGCCGTTTACTGTCGGACCCAAAGGTGGCTATTACCGCTCGCAATGTTCGACGCATTATATCGATGTCATCGGCGTAGGCGAGTAACATGTGTTGTTTGGTGTACAGAGTGCTATTTCTGTTCAGCTTTGCGTCTCGTATGACCTTTTTCAGCAGGATGTTAAAAAGATCACAGGACAAACAGCCACCTTGTCTGAATCCTCGTTCGGTATTGAAAGGCTCCGATAGGTCCTTTCCGACTTTAACTGCTGACCTTGTACCACTTAAAGTTATCCTTCATAGCCGTATTAATTTTGCCGAACACAGACATGGCTTTAAAAACCTCCGAGCGGATTGGGCTGTCGAATGCGGCTTTATAGTCAACGAATAGGTGGTATGGTCCAATAATGTCATTGACCATTGGCATCAATCGTTCACACAGCACACTGGATAGCACTTTATACGCGATGGGAAGAAGGCTAAATCCTCTATAGTTGTCACATATCGTCTTGTCTCATTTTTGTGCACGGGACACAGGATGCTGAGGTTCCAATCATTGGGCATGCATTCCTCTAGCAAAATTTTAATAATTCCTCTAGCCAAATTGTACTAATCAGCTGGTGCATGCTCCTGACCAGCATCTGGCCACCAGTCTTGAATAGTTCGGCTGTTAACCCGTCGGCTCCTGCTGCTTTATTGTTCTTGAGCCGATTAATTGCTTTTATGACCTCATCTTGGCTAGGTGGTATACACTCCATACCATCATCTCTTATTGGTTCTGGGGTATCTTCTTCACCGCCACTATTTGATACCAGAAGCTTTTCAAAATGTTCCTTCCAGGTCCTCAACACGCTGTCTGTATCTGTCACCAGGTTTCCTTCTTCATCTCTACAGGAGGATGTGCCTGTTTTACTAGTTGGTAAAATTTCCGGACTTCATTCTGATTCCTGTACATCTCGATTTGACCACGCTCACGTTTTTCTTGTTCTTTGTTCTTTTTCTGAAAACACGTTTCTCCTCTCTCCTTTTCTCCCGATAATTCTCCATCGCATTACGTCTTGCTACTGTCTGCAGGGTTGCCCTATACGCTGTGTTTTTCACATCAGTAGAATTACGACACTCTTGATCGGTGGTGGTTTTTGGTACCCAAGAGTTGGTTTTGCTGTAGTTTGTAGGGAGTCAAGCAGGTGGGTAAGTTGAGCGGAGTAGGCCTCGGCTACCAGTTGTGTTTGCAGTATTTCTACTTCGAGTTTCCGTGTTGTGTTAGATCGCACCTTTGCTGCATCATTAAGACGAGCGTGTCCTTGGCTGCTACAAGGTAGTGGTCCGAATCGATATTCGCTCCGAATCGATCGGTTTCGGATTCGGATCGATCCCAACGTCTAATACACTGGATGAATGCCTTCCGTCTATCACAACATGATCAATTTGATTTCGAGATGCTTGAGTCTAGTGCTGCTAACTACCATGCTTTTTGCTGCCGCGAAGTTAATCAACCTCATGCTATTGTCGGATGTTTCTTCATGAAGGCTGAATTTTCCGACGGTGGGGCCCAAAGAATTTACCCTTCCGATTTTTGCATAAAAATCTCCTAGCAGAATTTTAATGTCATGGCCAGGGAAGCGATTACATGTTGTTTCTAGGCGCTCATAAAATATGTCTTTGGTTTGTTCATCTTTATTTTCGGTCGGAGCATTGTCGCGAATGAGACTGATGTAGAAGAAATTCGCTTTTATACGGATCATAGCAATTCGCTCATCTACTGGCAATAATATGGACTTTGTACTTCTTGAGTACATCCGCCAAAGCGAAAACTGCGCCTGTTATGTACAAGGTGCGCACATTCCAAGTGCAGATACGCAGGTCGTGGTCCTTTATACGTTTGCGGGGGTCGTCGACATTAGGGGGTATGGTTTTCTTTTTCTTTGCTTTTTCATAGTAGGTTGGGTTTTCCGAGAGTGGGCAACTAACTTTACGCCTCAACCCATTTTTTTATAGTTCTTATGGGTGAACTCAACCCGGCACATATTAGCTCACTATTTCATGATGTAAATAGCTCCCCAGGAGGCACCGCGGGGAGGTCAGTGTCCACAATTGAGATGAAAGAGGGACCAAGATAAGCCTGGACTTCGCCATATTAAAGCCAATCAGAGCCGTTGCTTGGTATATATCATCCCTACCCCACCCTTTTATATCCGGTTCAAAATTAAGAAACACGGTTCATTCTTCCTCAAAATTCTAAAAAAATATCCATATCTTTGAACAAAAATGTTTAATTTGATTTATTCGATTAAAAATTTAATTTATATTCCAAAAGATTATTTGTTTTCTCCATCCGATACACTCATCATTAGGGTCATAAACGAACCTGCCGTTTTGTAGACCTGTGAAAGAAGAATCACAATTAAAATGCTACATTCCAATAGAAAGTTTTCAGAATTCTACCCATAAAAATAAACTTAAATCAGTAATAAAGAAAACTCCGGTCAGTTTAGAAGATTTCTGAGCCCTAGCTAAGGGTAAGAGTAATAATTTTCTAGATTTAGGACACAACACTTCCCAATGGAAATGTTCGTAGATAGTCACGGCAATGGAAGCGCTCTGAAACCGATATTTCAATATTAAATAGTTGCAGAATTTAATGATTGTTAGATCTACCTCATCCTTAATCCTCTGACCACCATAACAGTACAACATCATTTGCATGGATATGGACATTAGGAAAAACGTATGAAAAACTTGTCCAGCCAATTCACCGCCACGAACAAATTGAAAAGCCAAAAAGGCAATCTGTATGCAGCTGATAAGGAATTTCACAAAAACGATCATCATAAAGACCTCATTGAACTCTTCGATGATGTCTATAATTCTTTGATGATAACGAACACTTTCTCCAATGGATTTCCTCAGTGTTTCATAACAATGAATTCCTTCAATATTGGATTCAGCAATTGATTTCAAACGTTCTCTCAGTATCCAAAAATGCGCCGCAATATTATGGACTATCCATGAGAAGAGACTATCGACGGCGAGGGTTGTATTGATCACCGCATAGATTGCTATCAGTGCCCACATATAGGCAATAAAATACCCCAAATAGGTTTCTTTCGGATCCATGAAATAGCTAAAAAGAAAAATTAAGGAAACAATTAAGTTTTTCTATAGAAACCCTCATTCAGGTATGCTGAATAGAAGTTTTCCTATAGAAAATCTTATTTAGCAAGGCTGAATTGAAGTTTTCCTACAGAAACCCTTATTCAGCCAGGCTAAATTGAAGTTTTCCTATAGAAAACCTTATTCAGCCAGGCTGACTTGAATTTTTCCTATAGAAAACCTTTTCAGCCAGGCTGAATTGAATTTTTCCTATAGAAAACCTTTTCAGCCAGGCTGAATTTAATTTTTCCTATAGAAAACCTTTTCAGCCAGGCTGAATTGAATTTTTCCTATAGAAAACGTTATTCAGCCAGTCTAAATTGAAGTTTTCCTATAGAAAACCTTATTCAGCCAGTCTCAATTGAAGTTTTCCTATAGAAAACCTTATTCAGCCAGTCTCAATTGAAGTTTTCCTATAGAAAACCTTATTCAGCCAGTCTGAATTGAAGTTTTCCTATAGAAAACCTTATTCAGCCAGGCTGAATTGAAGTTTTCCTATTGAAAACCATATTCATCCAGGCTGAATTGAAGCTTTCCTATAGAAAAAACTAATTCAATCACGCTGATTTAATGTTTTGTATTTAAAAAATGTCCTTACCTTCCTTTCAGTGGCGTTTCCAAAACTTCCCAAAAATCCTCTCCTTTCAAATATCCATAGAAGGCCTTAAAAAATGGAGCCACCAAAGCCAATACACCCGTTGAAAAAACCGTCATATAGAAAGAACCCGATGTCAAGGTGTCTTTGCGATTTTCTTCTTCAATCATTTTTAGTTCCTCCTTAGTAGCTGTAATGAAATCTCCGATCATTTACTAAGTCCACTTCAATACTTCTCGCCAAAATTACCTTCCAAATTCCATTCCCATAATTCTCTAACCAATTTTTTAATATCACGTCGATGCCACAAAAATAAAACCATTTTCATGTTAGCCATAAGCACCTGCCAAACGGGAGCCATGGCATCGGTCACCAAATTCATGTCTTCCAAATTTTGTATCGAGTACAATGTCAAGGGTTCACTTAGGATAAATTGCACAATATTTGGTATCCAGAAGAGGAATCCATTGAAGATGGTTCGCCTTGTGGAGAACAGGTCGACTCCGATTGCGGTAAAACAAAATTTCTGTACATTGAAGTAGTATTTGATACCCTCCAACTTGGGCAGCACTTCCGATGAATCCGTTATCATTGTTCCTCTTTGATTGGTGGTTAATATTTATTTAAACTGAAAAGATAACAAATAGTACAACATATTAATTCTGTTTCGAATTTTATTGTTCCTGAATATGTTGCGGTAAATTATTTAAAGCGTTTATTTGTTGTTAACGCCCTCTAAATTTGGTTAACATAAACAGTTATTATCAATAATTACTTTATTATTCGGAAACACCCTCGTTTGTTGTTTCAAATTTACCCAACCATGAAAGAGCTTCCGAAAAGTGTGCCACAAATTATTTGTGGGCGTTTTCAAAAAATTATACCAGTACTTTGTTTCCTCACACATAAGGAAATTAGGTAACCAAATTTGTTTAAGGATGGGAATCCTTTATGATTCGTGATTTCATTTATCCAATTAAATGTATAATTACGGATCCGAATACTCGAATCAGAATCAGATTGTATGTGTAAATTTCGTGTATCATACATAAACAAATTCGACGAAATTATATATGGGTGTACAATTTACCTAACATGTCTTTAGCGGAACCAAAGTAAATATTGGTCGGTCTCTTGGGTAGAGCTTGGTTTCAATTGGACAGGGTCATTGTGCAAAAATTACCTGAATATATATATGGAAACTAGTTTTGCCAGATACTGATTCGAAAAAGGTGGACGTTGGGGGCTAAAAAGCTGGACATAAAGAACTACTGTGGAAATCGGTTCACATGTAGCTTCCATATATTATATTGGGGAAAAAGAAATCCATTATATGAACTATAGGACTTTATTTAACATGCTTCGGAATATACGATTTGATGTGCTTCACCGCTCTTTGACCACGATCGTTTTCGAACAGGGTTATCCTATGTGATCCATTTCTTATCTTCAGTCATCATCCGTTTAAGAAATGGGTCTATCTCATTACGTTTGGCCAAAGCTTCGCATATGGAAATTCGATCCATTCTATTTTTTCTGTTAATTGGTTTGGCACCGAAACATAGAAGCTATTTTTGAATCCAGCTTTGTGTAAATGGTTTAAAACAGTTTTTGTTCGATTTTTAGTTCCTGAGCGATGTTACGACTGCTAACATGCCGGTCTACTTCGATCATTTCTTCGATTTTAACGACATTTTTATTATGGATTTCTTTTTCCCCAACCTAATATTCTTTAGATTTTTGTAAAAGCCCCTATATTTTCTATTTTTAGGAAATTGTACATAGCGTACTGAATTAAATATGAAATGACATGTGTTAAGTTTCGGTTCATATTTAAATATAGCTCCCATATATTTGTTCGTCCGTTTTGACGTAAATCATTCAAATCGAGTCAGATTTACATAAAGCTCTTGTACAAAATTGTGTTCGATTTCATACAAATGGCACACCATCCATGTCTATAGAGTGATTTGTTAAGAGCTTGATAACTTTTTTTTAAAAAAAAACGCATAAAATTTGCAAAATCTCATCGGTTCTTTATTTGAATCGTTAGATTGGTCCATGACATTTACTTTTTGAAGATAATTTCATTTAAATGTTGACCGCGGCTGCGTCTTAGGTGGTCCATTCGGAAAGTCCAATTTTGGGCAACTTTTTCGAGCATTTCGGCCGGAATAGCCCGAATTTCTTCGGAAATGTTGTCTTCCAAAGCTGGAATAGTTGCTGGCTTATTTCTGTAGACTTTAGACTTGACGTAGCCCCACAAAAAATAGTCTAAAGGCGTCAAATCGCATGATCTTTGTGGCCAACTTACCGGTCCATTTCTTGAGATGAATTGTTCTCCGAAGTTTTCCCTCAAAATGGCCATAGAATCGCGAGCTGCGTGGCATGTAGCGCCATCTTGTTGAAACCACATGTCAACCAAGTTCAGTTCTTCCATTTTTGGCAACAAAAAGTTTGTTAGCATCGAACGATAGCGATCGCCATTCACCGTAACGTTGCGTCCAACAGCATCTTTGAAAAAATACGGTCCAATGATTCCACCAGCGTACAAACCACACCAAACAGTGCATTTTTCGGGATGCATGGGCAGTTCTTGAACGGCTTCTGGTTGCTCTTCACTCCAAATGCGGCAATTTTGCTTATTTACGTAGCCATTCAATCAGAAATGAGCCTCATCGCTGAACAAAATTTGTCGATAAAAAAGCGGATTTTCTGCCAACTTTTCTAGGGCCCATTCACTGAAAATTCGACGTTGTGGCAGATCGTCCGGCTTCAGTTCTTACACGAGCTGTATTTTATACGGTTTTACACCAAGATCTTTGCGTAAAATCTTCCATGTGGTCGAATAACAGACGTAATATTCTCTTCTGTACGCACTGTACGCATTCGTGTGGTTGGTTTAATGTCCAATAAAGTAAACTGAGTGCGAAACTTGGTCACAATCGCATTAATTGTTTGCTCACTTGGTCGATTATGTAGACCATAAATCGGACGTAAAGCGCGAAACACATTTCGAACCGAACACTGATTTTGGTAATAAAATTCAATGATTTGCAAGCGTTGCTCGTTAGTAAGTCTATTCATGATGAAATGTCAAAGCATACTGAGCATCTTTCTCTTTGACACCATGTCTGAAATCCCACGTGATCTGTCAAATACTACACAGAAAAAAAATTGTAACCATTTGATAAAAAATTCAAAAATCCAATTAAAATTTGATTGATTTTTCGCCGATAAAAATAATGTTCATATTTACAATCGCCGATAAAAAAAATTGTAATCCCATTCGAAAATATTTTGATAAAGCAATTCTCATATATACTAAAAATTTTGTTGAATTTTATTTTGTTAATCGATAAAATATTTTTCATATTGACAATCTTGTTTATCAAATTATTATTATTATTTCTAATTAAATTTCTTGTAGTACGATACAAAACCTTTTTTACCCTTATTATTACAGCTCTCCCACAAAAATACCTCAAAATTTTCAGTATTTTAACGGCTTTAAACTAAATGTGTAGCTCTATACCGAATAAAAACTTATATTTGTTATCCATCTTTTACAATCTATTCAACAAAGTACTTTGTAATAACATAATAAATAATAATATGGCATATTACAAAAAAAATTATTAAAAATTGTCCAACAAATTTAATAATTTTTTTGTTCAAACTCGTTTGTTGATGGTTTTTTTGTGAATTGTTGGTGTTTGATAAACATTTCCGACTACGTTTGAAATATGTTATCGACATCTTTTTGTCGAACGCTGATGAAGCTTTTAATCAAAAATTTCGGGGTGGCTTTTTTTTCTGTGTAATGCATGAAAATCCTAACCTCAAAAAAATCACCCTTTATATGGATCACACAGCGACGTAGCCAGAGGGGGCCCTAAATTTTTGGCGGGTTATCATCATAGGTGACCTGAAAACAAAATGTGTCCATAACTTGAGAAATTAAGTTTAGTTGATAAAACGGATATGACTGAAACTATTAATTCGAGGATGTTATTTTGATGCCCTATTTTGGTAATGAAATAATAACAATTGAAAAAAGCGTTAAGTTCGGCCGGACCGAACTTTTGATACCAAAAAGTGGACGTAAACCGATAATTGCCATTATATGAAAGCTATGCCTAATTTATGACCGATATATGTCAATTTCGAACCCAATATTTCAGTTTTGTATCTCAATTCTTTCCTTCAGGAGGTTTCATTATAGGGGAGATGTCCAAATGCCTGCCGATTTATTTCATTATCGTCAGGTTCGAGTTTTTCATCACGATATCTTTAGAATGCGGAATGATTACAACAGGTGGCTAAATCGTCTTAGAATTCCACACTTTGTAGCGTACACACTTTGTAGCGTATGTAGTGTATTCTGCCATACTATGGCAGAATACACCTATATGGGGACAACCCCAACACACGGAACAAATCAGCTAACTATTGTAATATAAAACCAGTAAGGAAAGTAGTAAAGTCGGACGGGGCCGACTATATGATACCCTTCACCACTATGGGTATATTAAACAGGACTATTATCATGAAATTGTATGAAATACAATATGTGATATTTATCTAAATGTGAAACGACCTAGATCTATCCATAAACATGCAGGGACCGAAAATAACAGTTATTTTTTAAAATGCGAACAAAAAAATCTTCATGTTAGAGACATGGGACACCAATAGTGTCATATACCAATAGATTCGTATTGAGGAACCCATTAAGGATATTGAGTGATCTTGAGAAAACACTCTCAGTTCCCATGTTAAGGATTATTTTTTAACGGAAAAAATAAACGTTGACTTTTAACTGTTAAAAATGATTTTTTCCGTCAAAAATAAAAGTCTTTTTGGGATTTTTATTTTTTCCATCAAAAATAAAAGTCTTTTTGGGACTTTTATTTTTTCCGTCAAAAATAAAAGTCTTTTTGGGATTTTTATTTTTTTCCGTCCGAAAATAAAAGTCTTTTTGGGATTTTTATTTTTTCCGTCAGGAAATAAAACACTTTTTATGTAAAGAAGTTTATACAACTAGTAATCAGTTATAAAATTACAATTTATAAATCTCTGTCCTTATTACAATAAGTGTACACATAAGTAATCAAGATCAAAGGTAAAAAATATTTGTTATAAATTTTTAAAAAATAGTCTAGTGTAGCAAATCATGAATATAAATTAAAGAATCATTCCCCTGACTATTAGGTCAAAGGTTATATAACTGGCACCAAACTCTATATGTTTATTTTCGTAAAAAGACTTTTATTTCCTGACGGAAAAAATAAAAATAAAAGTGCCAAAAAGACTGTTATTTTTGACGGAAAAAATAAAAATCATTTTTAACAGTTAAAAATCAACGTTTATTTTTTCCGTTAAAAAATAAATAATTAAAGTGGATTTTTTTTATTTAGGTCACATAATAACAGTTATTTTTTACCTGATTTGATATAAGTTATAACCGTTACGGTCCCTGTAAACATGTCATTCGTTTGTTACAATGAAACAAAGGTATGTAAATCGACTTCAAACAAATATCAATAGGTCATCCGTTGGGCTAGGTCTGTACTTCTAGAAAACCCAACT